CTGCATGAAAATAATTTCTACCCATTACTACTTGAATGTTTAGTTTTACAATGGGATATTATTTAGCCTGAAAGCGTAGCCTCCAATGATAAAAATGAGACAGGCATGTGGGCATTTGACAGCTAAGAAAAATGTGTCTTTCTGTGACACTAATGTAATAAATGAAAGAAGGAAGTAAGAATTTTAGGTACTGGACACCATTCATTTACTGTCCACAGTATGAAGAAACTGTTCAAGTTGATTCTGGGTGGTCTTCATACACTTCAATCTCTTCTATGTAAGCATGTAGTAAATGGTTGGATTGACCATGTTTGTAATAGCAAACCAGGTCTTCTCTTTCATATTTAAAACAGAATGTGAAATCCACTTGTGCAAACCAGTTTGACCTAAAGACTGTCTTTTGAAATCTCTTTTTCCTTGCTTCCCATTTTGCAGGAGAGCGCTCTAGCTAGACTGACTTGTGGAGGTGTATATGTGACAATATTGAGGAACAGACCAAATCTCAGGGCATGCTTGTATGTTCTGGCTTTATGTTTGCTCAACCTGAGGAGGTACTGGTGTGTATTTCTTTTCATGAAAATTAGGTGCAGAGCAGGGTAAATTGTGTCAGGAACACAGCCTAGCATTAGGAATGCTAAAGCACTCCTTCAAACAGTGATATAAACACAGTCAGATATGTGGTTTTTTTTTTTTCCCAACCAGGAGCTGAAAATAGCGGAAACTTTAATGTTGTGAAAGTACAGGTTGCATGCATAATGGAAGCAAATCTGAAGTAATTCTGGGGAAGTCAGATCAAGACAAGTTAAGTTTCCTCTTTTTCTGTAAGGCATATTTTGATATAATGGTGGTAGCATCTTGTGTAATTTAGTACTTCAGAAAGAGTTGCCACATTGGTCACGACAGTAATTTGCTCAGATTGAAGAGAATTTATGTTCTTTAAAATCCTGAAGACTGGTATTTCAAAATGGGGAATATGAGGGAAGACTTTAGGAAATCATATGTAGTTTGTAAAAGAGTTTAAAGAATGCTGTGGTTTATTTGCCACAAGGCAAAGGAGAAGATAAGACGAATTACAGTAGGGGACACAGTATATTCTACCTTTTGTCAGCTTGAGGCTTGTAGCAGGGGTCATAACTATCTTGACCTACAAAAAGAATGTGCTGTCTGGGTTTGTAGGCTGATTATTGGAAACTTGAGCCTTTAAAATACGTTTACAGGAAATGTCTTCTGATCTACGTTAGGTCTGACAAACTGCCTTGTATGAGCATTAGTTTGCAGATCTGCTGTTGTCATGTGGTTCATCCTCAGCTGCTTGCCCACTGCAGAGGTTCATGCTCCTCAAATCTGTGAGCATAAAAAACAAGTATAGTCCTTCCCCAGCTTGATTCTGTCAGAGGTTTAAAATGTGCTTTTTGCAAACTGTTCTGGTTTTCTTTTTCCCCCCTGTCCAAGTATTCCAGGATTTGTTGTTGTTAGGGCTTTTTTGTTTGCTTGGTTTTTAAAGAAGTTTAAAACTGCAAAACCCTGCAGTTTTGTTGACAGATAGGAGGAGGGGGGAAAGTGAGAGCAAGCAATGGGAGGTAGTAGCTTAGATTGACTCCACTCCTATGGGAATAGCATGTCTGTTGAACTATGCCTGGATAAAAGCTATCAAAGTTAGTCACTGGCAAAAGTAGCTCTGTTTTTCTTTCTTTAACTAATGGACAAAATCACACCTGGTGTCATGGGATCTGGGTACCTTTCAGAGATGTTGACACCACATTTAATTGCAAAGGAAAATGGTTAGTTACTTGTTCCTCCCTGAAGTTATTTAGCTGCTGTCCAGTCAGTGAGTAAGAAAGAGGGAGGAAGGTACGGCAGAGGAGAAAGTGAGGGATTTTCAATAGGAGCATGTACACACCCTGTCATTCTGGTGTTTGTTTTGTATCATACTTTAAGGTTTCTCCACAGGGACTAGTGTCACGTGCTCCACTTCCTGCAGCGTGCAGGAATAACGGTGTGACAGTTTTGATTGAGAGCTGGTGTTCTCAGTTTGTGTAGTCACTCTGGTTGCAAGTAAAGTGATTGGGGAGAAAAAAAAATGTCACTATGTATCATTTCCTTATAGTGATACATCTGAATTGCTTTTAAAATCTGGCAGCACAAGCACTAAGGCTTAATCTGCCATCATCAGTTAACTGCAAAACAATTTTTCTAGGCTTTAATTAAGCAAAAATATGCTGCAGTCTTTGAAGAATCTTTTTTTTCTATCATCAATATTTCTTAATGCAGAAGGCCAGAGGCAGAACATGCCAGGAAGCTGGTGCTTTAGTGTGGTCTGCAGTAGTGCATTACCACGCTCTGCTGTGGTCTTACTGCTGTTACAGGGCAATGTAATTAAAAACCTGTACAGTGTAGGGTGAAAAAGAGAGGCTTGAGTTGGTGCCCAGTTAGAATCTTTCATATGCAGGTGACATTGGACTCTCTGGGCTTGCTACCTGGGCATAGAATCATAGAATGGTGTGGGTTGGAAGGGACCTTCAAAGACCATCTAGTCAAAACCCCCCTGCCATGGGCAGGGGCACCTTTCACAAGACCAGGCTGCTCAAAGTCCCATCCAGCTTGGCCTTGGATGTACTACTAGTATTCAGTTCAGTTGTCATGGCTAGAGCTACCACATTAGTGGTTCTTAATCAGGTACCAAAGGACCACAGAATTGGAGTGCAATTAAAAATGTGATCGTGTAAAAGAGAACTTCTGGGCAGACTCTTGAAATGTATCACTTGAAATGTAGCTGAAGAACCAAAGTTGCTTTTAGAATGGGGTGCAGAGCAGGAGGGCGCCTGCAGGAGGTCAGAACTTGCTGGGAGATCAGTAGGTAGGATTTGGCTTCTCTGCAGAAGTAGCAGTATTTTTCTAAAAATCTCACTGATTGATTTTAAAATACATCACCCTAGAATGTGTGATTTCCACTGTTGATCTGCAAAACAGGTGTGACTTTCTGATGGTAGTGAGCAAGGTATGACTATAACTTGTCAGCAGAGAAACTTGATGTAGTTACTAGGTTGCAATGTCTCTATTTTACAGATGTGTGAGCTAAGCTGCAGACATGAAATGGGTTTGCCTGTGGCCGCAGAACTAGTCATCTTTATAATAGTATTGTAAATAGGAGTTTTAGATTCCGTTATCATGTCTGCTGTTTTCATTTCTTAATTTTAAGTGAAATGAATAATAACTGACCAGGTTTAAGTATTTATATTAAAAGCACTGAAGGTGGATGGTGGTACAGTATATTACAAGATTATAATGTAGCAGGTCCATTGTATCAGCCCTTGATGTGGCGACTGGCTGACTGTGACTTGCTTTGTGAGTAGCTTCCATGGTGCCCAGGAGCTTTCACAGTATGCGCTTTGCTTTTAGAATGGAGGAAAAAAAAAAACAACTATACTAAATAAATGCAGTTGAAGTTATAAAGGGTACCAAAATGGGACTTTATGTGCCTACACTGAATTTACCAAAATAAAAATTATTTAAAATAGTAAATGACTTTGCCAAAAACTAGTGCATATCATATTTAACTCTGAAAAGAGCTACATAATGTCAGATGTCTCTGGCCTCATTGAGGAGCTCTCCAAAAGCTAGGGTAAGTAAAATGCTTTGTAACTTCTCATCTGAACTGAGACATGTAGAAGTGAATCTCAAGTTGGTTCTGCCTTCGCCTTGGACAATGAAAAGAGAAGAAAACGTGAGCTGCCTTATAGGCTACTTCTGTGAAGAGGTACAATTTTGTAAGAAATTTTAGGTGATTAGTTGATGAGTGTGTAAAAGCATAGGGCTGGGTGGAGTTTCCTGATTGTTGAGCCTAGTCTTAACAGTGGCATGATGCTCCTCTTCTGTGGAAACCAAGTTTTTCCTTGGCTAAACTAGCTTTTCTGGTTGCTATTATTGCAGTTAGGTTAGTTATTTTGTTAACATCCTGTTTATCTTAATGCTTTTTTCACCTGTCCAGTGTTTAGCCCTTGTCATGTACTTCTGGAGAGCAAATTGTGAATCATCTCAGCCTCCACTTGCTGAGCTCCCCCAGATAAAAGCTGTCAAAGCTAGCCTCTGGGCAAAGTAGCTCTGTTTTTCTCTCTTCACGTCTAGCTGCATTACTTTCCTGGACTGTGTATCTATTTGACATTGAACTTGGTTGAGGATACTGGACTGATTGATTTATGGATAAAACGTGCAAGGGAATATCTTGATTATACTTCTGGAAGGGAAAAAAACCAAACATTAAGATGCCTGTTGCTTAGATGTGGTGTGGTATGGCCAAGGACAGTATGTTCCTTGTCACAGTGGAAGAGCTGTGAGTATTGGAAGCAAGAAATTAAACTCTTAAATCTCTCTGCCAGGGGCATTTGAATTCAGTCTGAACCTGCAGGAAATACCAATTGCTTGGGGGGGGGCTGAGTTCAGTCGTTAGCTTTTCTGTTTCCTGGGGAAGGAGCTGCAGTGCTATGTAGTGACCCAAACACTGACTGTAGATGGAATAAGTAGATAGGACAAGGTAGCTGAGTTGGGAAGCTGTGCTGGGAGAAACTGATTGTTGCTGGTGACATGAAGTAGCTGCTTTATTGAGCTGTATTGAGCTGCTTTGTTATACTGTAACTGCATTGAGTGTTTTACAGACATAATAGAAAAGTAATTTTAGTTAAATACATTTTGTATTGCAAATGTATTTTCATTAATATAATCCCTACATGTGAAATGTTACGGTAACAGTAACCAATTCTGAAATATCTCTTTTGCCTTTATTCTTATTTTCTCTTTCTTCAGAACTCATCCACAGTCTGTATACTGTCTTAAATGGCTAAGGAACTATGTTATAAAATGTTTACACTGCATTTTTTACAAGTTTTTAGTGTTTCTTTTTATGTTCTTATATTTATTGCTTTCTCCAAAACTTTTTTTCCTGTAGTACTAACCTGTTTATTTAGATCCATTCAGTCAGAAACTGTCCTTTTTTTGTCTTTCAGACTATTAAAAAACAACTGGATGCACATGCCAAATTTCATCTGTGAAAGACGGAGTAAGGTAATATGATTTTAGAGATTGCTACTATAATGTGTGATGATCTGTGGACACTGAATGCAAAGGTTCAGATATTAAGTAAATTAGAGACAGACAAAGCAAAAGGAGCTTTAGTCTCAGAAATAACGGAGTGCTGACAAGATCCTGTGTTCTACTATCAGTGAAATGCTTACCCTATGTTTTGTCCTGTGGGCAGTTCACTACGTTGGCCAGAGGTTTTCTGTTGTTGTTGGGTGCTTTGTCCGCAGAAGCTCAGGTTCTAATTAGCTAATGATTAGATAATGTCATTAGCTAATGACAGTATGATTTGTTTATCTTTGAACAATTGATATATTTCTGGAAATTGGTGAGATTCAAACTACAGCCTATACTGAAAGACCAGTATTTGTCACTTGTTTCCACCATAAGAACAGACCAGTGGTTCTTAATTTTCCTTCTTGAACATCCTGGATGTCGTGGTTTAAGCCCAGCCATGCAGCTCGTTCACTCACTCCCCCGCCTTCCTCCCTCAGCTCCTGGAGTATGGGGAGGAGAATCGAAAGAATGTAACTCCCACGGGTTGAGATAAGAACAGTCCAGTAATTAAGGCATAACACAAATCACTGCTGCTACCACCAGTAATAATAATGATAAGGGAATAACAAGTGAAGAGAATACAACTGGTCACCACCCGCCAACTGATACCCAGCCTGACCGAACAGTGATGTAGCACTTCTGGGTAACTGCGTCCAGTTCTACATCCTGGGCATGATGTGCTGTGGTATGGAACACCTCTTTGGCTAGTTTGGGTCAGGGGTCCTGTCTCTGCTTCCTTCCGGCTTCCCCTCCTCCCTGGCAGAGCATGAGACCCAGAAAGTCCTTGATCAGAGTAAACATGACTTAGCAGACTTAGCAACAACTAAAAACATCGGTGTTATCAGTGCTGTTACCAGGCTGAAAGTCAAAACCACAGCACTGCACCAGCTACTAAGAAGGAGAAAAATAACTGCTACTGCTGAACCCAGGACACTGGACCAACAGAAATGGAAGAAAGCAGATCTGCCTTTGTTGTCATTGAGTACTGCTGTAGCATAGAGCAGTATCCTTCAGGATGGGAACTGAATCCTGTTGGACACTTCATGAATATTTCTCAAGTGTTTACTTCTCCACAGTGAAAGAGCTACTTTATGTCCTGTGATGTGTCAGGGGGCAGAGGCTGATGGTCACATTACTAGGCCCTGGGAAGTGAAAAGGTGTCTGGTGGGGTTCCTGTTAGCAGAGGACTCTTGTGATAGCACTGTTGCCCACTTGTTTCCAAGCAAAGTTCAGTCACAGTACTCTTCTGGCTTCCTGTGGGACAGAGCAGCTGTTGGTGGGTTGTATTGTCAGGCTGGCCAGCTGCACCGGACTTCTGGATTTTCAGAGAATAAGAGAAGTTGTGGTCCACATAGTGATGTGTAGTATATGGCCTTAACAACAATGCAGTATGAGGCGGACACCAGTGAAATGAGTCTTCTGGTAAAGGTAGGAGGTTTTACTAGTCTGGGAATAGGAGGCAGCAAGAGGTGAAATGCGATGCTCATGGTCAAATGTGATGCTCACAGTCACATGTGACACTTGCAGTCACCTGAGTAATCGTGTAGAAATTGAGGGGGAACCCTCAGCCTTCTCATCTCTGATGTAGTGAGTGTCTTTTGTAATCTTTTCCTTGCTTCCCATTTTGCCTGACTACACTCTTTAGCTAGACTAACTTGTGGAGGTGTGTGTATGACAGTGTTGAGGAACAGACCTAATGTCAGGTCATGCTTGTGGGTTCTGGCTCTGTGTTTGTTCAACCCGAGGAGGTACTGCGATTTTCTTTCCATGAAAAAGGAAACAGATGCCCCCAGTGCACTTTCACAGATTTCAGCAAAGAATGAAAGTTGGAGTAGAGTCAGTGGCGAGCAGTAGTGACTTCTCAGAGATGCTTTTTCCCCAAGTTCTCATAAGGGAGCACAAACTTATCTGTAAGATTAAGCAGATAGATCAGCAAATGCACTTCCTCATGCAGCATTGCTTTTCTTGTATCAGATGTGTGTCTTAATGCAGACTGAGGATCAATTACTGAAGTCTGGAGAAGTGTGTTACCATGATTGTCCCTACATACGGAATTAAGCAAGAGATCAATACCATGTACTGGATTATTTAACTGGGGCAGAATAGAATACAGTGCACAACAGGATGCTCCAGGGGTTTATGTGTAATTTTTTTCCTTTCACCATCTTGAACTGTTAAGTGAAGAATAACTTGAGAATCAGGCATGCACTTACAGATCTTTCTCAATCCCAAAAAGGCAGGGATGAAGTTGCCAGCAGCAAATGAGCACTGCCAGACCCTGTAGATGTCTTTACTGTGACTTAAAGGGAACAGCAGTAATACTAGTAATGCATATAATCTTTCTTATATTAATCATTGTCTGCATTGGAAAAGATATGCCTGGGGCAGTCCTCCATCTTCATCCAGTTCAGTGCTGCTTCTTGCTGAAGAAATGAAAAAAGAATTCTCATACTTCCCCAAAACACCCGTTTCTTTTCCCCTGTAGGGTCTGTCCACACTTTCAAAGAAATCTGTAACAATAGAGGAAGAAAACAGTATTTGGGGCTCCCCTACAGGAACACTATATCATCCTAATTGTTTCTCAAATATGGCTCTAGCTGTGCAATCAACTCCATATAGACAGATCCCACTACTCATTTGAGACTTTGTGTTAGATTAGGACTGGAGAGAAAAGAAAAAAGTAAGAAGAGAGAATGCCACCCACTTCTGTTTGCCTGCTTGCTTGGTATTTTGGTGTATATTTTCTTTCAGCTGATTTGGATTTTTGAAAGGCTTCGTCATTAAGAGTCTCAGTGTCAGATATATAAAGCTCCACATAGCTTTTTTGATTGAGGCTCCTTAATATGTGTGTGTATAAAACAGAATTTATCTCCACTGGCACCCTTTTTAAGCAGCAGTCCATGCTTCAGACAGTTCTCTGGGTGACATGTCCAGAAAACATCCACTGGTATAGGTGACAAACAGACAAACTGCATGAATGACTAAGGAGAGGTAGTTCTTATTAGCACAGCAGCCTGCTTTGTGATTGTTGTTAGCTTTTACTGCAAGGTTACTATCCGTTATTGCAATTTGTTTTTTTAACAAAACCCAGCATTCACTAGTTTGTTCCTTCCCCTCTTGCTTTTCCCTTCTTATCAGTTTAAGTATGTTAAAGTGCAGAGTAGGCCATATGTGAATGCATGGCTGTGTTAAATATATAGTGATCCTATTTCTTAGGCCATCACGTTCATCATTCTGTTGTTAGTACTAGATCAATTGCATGCACCATGCTGGATTTGTGTTTATAATTACAATAATTACATGAGCAGTTATTGGATAATGTGAAGCATTTGCCCTTTCCATAATGTTGTCTATTCTATTAGTTGTTTTTCTGACTCTGCTGATTCTAGTCTGCAGAGTTAACCATCACTTTAGCTGTGAAAACAGAGATGGAGGACTTAGTTTGAACAAAATCTTAAATAAAAGCATAATCAGATTGAATAAAGCCTGAATGCAGGGAGGACAGAAAGAAGGGTAAGAAGACATGATGATGTATAGCTAATGAGAACAGCTGTAGATGGCACAAAATCAGGGACAAGGTGGCAGAATTTCAGATGTTTTAAGTGTCTGGAGACTACCATGATCCATGGGTTATTACTTTGCTTCTTTGCTCTGGTGACTTCTTTCTCTTTTTGCAAGTATTCAACCTATGTTATGTTCTGCGCAAGCGCAAGGATAAATTATGGGTTTTCTGAAATTAAATATTACTCTTACATCAAGACCTTTGAAGTGTTTGGAACATTATCCTGTCCAAGTTAACATTCAATTCAATAACCTATTAATTTTATACTGTGTTTGCATTTTAATTATAATGCTGTTATAGTGATTAAATTACAAAATGCCCGGTACCTAATTGTTAGTAATCTCAGCATTATCTGTGGGAGATACATAGATGAACTACCGCAGAATCATTATGAGAATTTCTGGAATAATTGTTTCACTAAAGCATACTGAGAAGATAAACACTTAATCCAAACCAACCCTCAAAATCAGCTGCCTACCATGCTACTCTCATTCTTGGAAACTTTGCATATGGATCATTTCCTACTTCCAGTTTTATTTTCTGTATAGCTAGGAAGATAAGATAGGAAGTCACTTTGTGGGTCCTCAAGTCCAGACCTCTGTACATAGAAGGTGTGGATTGTGCAGTACAAATACTTGCCTACTCTCTCGTCAATGCTAGGTGGAACACAATAGCTTGAAGCATGGTAAGAAAAGACAATCTGCAGCATGCCTCAGACTGGAGCATGGCTGGCATGCTGGTCTCTGCAGAATAAATAGCAGAAAAGGCTCCTAGTTATTTTTAGCTTTAGTGCACGATTTTTCAGAACTTTGGGGAGGGCAGAACAGTTGGGCCTGAAATACCTGAGGTGAGGTTTTCAAATACTTACCTTTAATCTGAACTCAGACATCTCAATAAAAGTCTTGTGTAGACACTGAGCACTTGCAGCCCTTGGTGAAGTCAGGAACAGCTGTCAGTGATCTGAGGTCTCCCAGGAAGTCAGATCAGCCTTAAAGTCTGCATCAGCAGAAATCTTACTTTTCTGCTCATTTCAGTAGGACTGAAGCTTATAGTTAACGCATGTGCTCATGTGATGCCCCTAAACTCAGTGGCTTTGAATATGTGAGGTGCCTGCCCCACTGATTTTGTTTCAAGGCATAGGAATGCCAATTTGGGTCAAAAAAAGTGTTAAAACTGCAGACTAAGGGAATGTTTTGTGTGCTTCTAAAATATTTTTTGCCCCATCCCCCCCCTTTTTTTTCATATGTTTGGCAATCTGAGAGAGACAAAAGTGCTAAAGCAACATGAAGAGTTAAAAAAAGGATCTTGCATCCTATCAGACAGTTTTCTTGAACTGAATAGCGTATAATAAATACACTAAAAGGAT